CTTAATAATTACAATCATATTTGAATTAATTCTATAATATATAAAATATTTATAATTACTTACCTATATTTTAAAAAGAGATAATTTATATATCGCCAATGTGATATTATTGCACTCTTTGATTGTGTAATCACGTGTATGTGAAATGTGATTGACAATTAATAGTAAATGTTAGTTTGCGGTAGTTAAATATATGAATGTCGCACAAATTATGTAATACTGGAATTAATATAAAAGGATATACAGTAAAAAAAAAAGGTTCTTCTTCTGTTAGCAAGAGAAAAATACTTACAGCGATACATGTTAAGAAAGAATCTTTAAGGTTACTATATTTGTGTTGCACATCATATCTCAGTAAAATATCAACGGCACCTTTCAAGTTAGGGTGTGTAGCACATACATACATATTGTACATACGTACTGTAACACCTTGTTACACATGTCAAAAAATAGAAGTTAACCACTTTCGTGATATGTATGAATTTTGGTTCAGGTTTCGATCCAAATTCCTAATAAAGACTATTCCAGACTGAAATTTGGATCGAAGAATTAGGCCGTTAGGACTAGTCTTTTTTTTTTTTTTTTTTGGTGAAGCAATAGGTAACTATATTCTTTTCTTACAGATAACAATTTTATCTGGAGTCAAAATGAAGAAATCTATCAAGGTAGTGTAGTGGTATTTTATTAGTAAGTACACTATAGAACACATGAGCTAACACGGTAATTGTTTAGTGTCAGAATACTTTAAAAATATTACATCTATAAGCTCTGTTTCGGATTTGGAACTAGGTGAGTTCGAAGGTCGAAATTAGTTATTGTAATGAACTATTTCAGATTATGTTAAAGCCCATTCTACCTTTAGGTATTACTTTGGATTCGGAACTGGAAATTCTTGACCCTACTGAAAACTCTTTAATTCAATCGGCAGAATTGATGAAATCAGATGGGTCTGAAATTTCGGATCAAGGTATATTCAGTTTTCGATTGCTATTTTGCTTTCGAATTAGAACTAGAGGTGAGGTTGATGTACTACATATATTTGTTAATAGAACTAGATGGATTTGAACCATTGAATCTAGATAGGTTTCATTTTAGATTTGGAATTTGATGATTTTAAGGCTAAAAAAAAAAAAAAAAATTAGATTTATTAAGATAAGCTGCTTTTTTAATAGGTCTTTTAATTGGGTCAGAATTAGAAAATCTTGATTCTACAAAACTTCCCTTGTTAACTGAACCAGTAGAATTGGTTACTGGATTACGTTTTCCCTCTTGATTAATTGCTGAACATTGTGTTAAAGAGCATGGGCGGCAAAGGGGATTTGCTATTAATTGTTATCGAGTTAGTTATCACAAAGACTCTAATCCATCTAATCTTATTATGAAAAAAAGAACACTTGCTTGTAAGCATGCTGGAATTCATAAGCCCAAGAAGACAAAACTATTGGATCAACAATGTAATAAAGGGTCAAAAAAAACGAATTGCAAGTGGCATGTTAATTTATCTAAACCTGACAATAGCGGTTTTGTACATATAATTTTTGTAAAATTAGTACATAACCATGATTTGTTGGTTGATAATGCAAAATTTGCCACAAAATTCAGAAAATTTGATTAGCTAATATTAGCAGAAATTGAGCATACAGTCATATATGGACGGTGTAATGCACACACCATAAGAAATTTATTGTAACCACTGTTTCCTGATCAGCTTTTTCTAACTCAGGATCTTTCTAATGCCATTCAGAAAATCAAACGTAACAGACGAATTACGAGATCTGATGCATCTCACTTGTTAAAATTTTTACTTAATCAACAAAAAGAGGAACCATTGATGTTTGTACAGCCATTAATAAACACAGATAGTGATAGACTATGTGGTATATTTCGGATGACTGCAAATTAGATTGAGCTATGGTCACGTTATTCAGACGTTATACTTCATGACAATACTTCTCGAACCAACAAATATAACTATCCATTGTCGCTATTTATAATTGTTGATAATGATAGAAAGTCACGCTTAGATGCTCAGGCCTTTTTGAATAATGAAAGTCAGAAAAGTTACAAATGGATCTTACAACAAACGTTGGATGCTACAGGTTGTGAACCGAAAATTATATTAACTAATATGGATCCAGCAATGGAGGCTGCATGTAAGGTGGTTTACAAAAATACTTATCATGTGCATTGCATCTGGCACATGGCTCAAAATTTACCAAAACAACTCAAAACCAAGCTCGGAACTGCAAATTTTAAGCAATTTATTTGTGATTTCTGGAAAATGCGTAATGTGTTATGTGTAGATGTTTTTGAGCAACGATTTCAAGCTCTATTGGAAACTTACCCTAATATTAATAGATATTTGCAAGATCTGATTTATTTAACATGGCATTCTTGGGTCCGTGTATATATAAGCCGTATCTTTATAGCCGGCATGCAGTCAACACAACGTGTTGAATCAATCAATGCAATTATCCACAAAGCTGTTTCTTCTAGTTCAACTATGTCAGATGTAGTTGAAGCTTTGGATTCCCAAATGCAAAAAGAGGCAATAAATAAAGATTTTTTGGCATGGAAATATAAATTAACAACATATTATCAGCCATTTGTTGTGGATAATTTTTTTAGTGAAATTAATGCAACAATAAAAAAATATTTTTCAACACGAATCATTGCAGAAATTCACAAACAAATGTGTGAATCAGTGCTGTATAAGTGTGAAAAGTTACTTGTTGAAGAAGCTTTTAAATTTACCAAAGATCAGTTAGTAAGTACTAATTGGTAGTTATAAAATTAGTTAGCTAAGATTAATATTTCTATCTTATTTTAGAATCCAAATGAACCTTATGAAAATCTAACTCCAACTGATAATTCGGAAGGTATCAAAAATATTGAAGACTACTACGATCATCGGCAAATATATTTCAAGTCGCTATTAAATTCAGTTGAGAAAAATTCGGTTAAAGAAATATGGCAAATTATTCCTTATATATTACCAAGTTCATATCAGCATATTATAATTCTTAATGATGGAACTCATTTATGCACGTGTTTATTATTGGTTTCTAACGGGATTGTTTGTCACCATTATTTCAAGTTAATGATTGAAAATCAAAATTCTTTGTTTCACCCAATACAAATGCCAACAAGATGGCTCCAAGATGAAGTCTAAACTTCTGTTAATTCTATTTTTAAAGAACCATTTATTGAAACATCATCAAAAAATTTGAACCAAGCCGACAATGTCTTTCAGAAAGCTGAATTTATTCCTAAACATTATGATAATATTCAAGAAGTTCAGACTCGTCAACATCTACAAAAAAAAATAGAATATGGTCGACTTATAGGGCATTTCAAAAAAGCTTTGAGCTATTCGCTAAAAGATAATGATCAGAGTGGTCTAGATGATATTATATTAGTGTATATTTCTGAAAAAGAGGCAAAGCTAAATAATGAGATGCAATCAGAAAGAGAGAATGTCCTTAATGAAAATATGAATTCAGATAATGTAATAAAGTTGTCAGATGATCACGTTTACAATGTGGATAATATTAAAGATCCAACAAAACATAAGGGTAAAGGTAGGCCTGCTGGTAAACGAATTAAGGCTTATAATGAGAAGGTAAAAAGTAGTAATATTGTTTAAAAAGAAAACATTTATGAAGATCTTGAGAATCCAGTAAGTAGTAGTAGTGATAATACTAGCGGACGTAAGTATAGATTGTGCAATAAGACTGGGCATTATGCACCTAGATGTCCTAGTAAGAAAGATTAACTATATTTGATAGTTTGTATATAGTAACTGATATTTAGATATGCACTGTGTGAATATGTAATTCATGAATTATTGATACTGATTTATTGGAACTAGATAGGATATCATTTAATCCCAAATTTATTTCATGATTGCTGCTAAAAGAAAATCTGTAAATCCAACTTGGGCGTTATTATAGTTGAAAACACAGTTTTTACGATGATAACCCAGAATTATATTTATCAGATTTGTATATTTTCCTTTGGCAGCGCTCATATTAATAACGTATCTCTAACATATCTTTGCATTTTTATTGTTATTTTATATTGGTTGTATGTCAAATTAAAATGTTGGATCAGGTCAAAATTTATATACTGAGTTTCGTTAGAGTTAGGGTCAGGATAAAATTTTATGTTAAAAGATTAGGATTTGGAGTTAGGGTTAGAGTTAGGATAGGTTTTTAGGGTAGGTGTCAGTAGCATTCTATTTATTTTTGACCTGACGCAAATTTTAATTTGATATACGACTTATTCGTAACTTGCATATAATAAAATACTAACTATGTCATCTCTTTGTAAAGGAATAGTAGTTCTATCTATAAGTTAATATGTTCTTCGACATGGTATAAAAGTTCATTAGAATCAATTATTGATCGGATATAAATACTTTGTATATATGTACTTATGTATATAATGTACGTTTGTATGTACGTACATACGTACTGTACTGTATTTAACTTAGAATATATAACGCTGTATTGTATAATGTGATTATGTAATTTGTGTAATACAATGTAGTATTACACAATTAAATAAATTGGTAATATTGGCTGATCATATTATATTATATAATCTGGGCAATGAATAATATATTTTGCATCATGCAATAAATAAATTTTTTCTTTTAAAAAATATAAAAAAAAATTTAAATAGTTTTTATAAATTAAAAAGCGTTTAGGGTGTGGCGACTTAGAGTAGTGGTTAAGTTGTTACCCCCCAAGCGGCAGGTCTAGAGTTCGAATCCCACCGGAGACGTTTTTAGAA